CCAAAAAAAAAAAAAAAAAATAAAAAACAAACAACAATTATGAGAAAGAAGTGCGTACTTTATCATAGACAGGTGCTATGCGGTTAAAAAGCTCCTGGCGCTCGGCTGGACTTTCATGGCTGGGCGGCTGTGGCTCAGATCGGCGTCTAAGTGTAGCCATATGTATCCAATCTGTGACGAAAATCTGTTACTGGCCGCCCTCTTTCTTACAACTCCACCACCTATCAACGTATAATTAAGAAAGAAAGCTGAGGGAATTGAAACACTAATTTAAGAGACAGGCTCTTAATTAATTAATGGAGTAGTAATATTGCACCAAGTTCCAATGTTTTAATAATTCAAGTCAACTATGAGTGGCCTTTAATTTATAACTAGTACGTAGCCCGTGCGATGCACGAGACATAAATATTAAATGAATCATTTTCAGAGAACTTGTCTGTTAAGTAGCTCGTGTGATTCACGGGAGACATTAAATGAGTGGACAATAGAGCTTGTCAGTTAAGGCCTAAAAAATAATAGAGTTTGATCATCTATTTTTTTACCTCTTTCATCAACGTCATCTTTTTTGTCGAGACATTAAACCTGAGTCTGGTAGTGGTAGCGCTAGAGCGTAAATTAATTAATTGTTTATAATAATATAAATTTAATTTCATTATATATATTTATTCTTTGATATAAGAAAAATAACAATTTTACGTAATCTTGTTCCTCGTATAATACTCATATTATTTTATTATAAAATTTATTGTAATAGCATGCTGACTCGTTTATATTATTATAAATAATATTTTAACATATATATTTATTTTTTAATACAAAATAATAATAATTTTACATATTTTGGTTCATCATAATACTCAATTATTAATCTATCAAAATCTATTATCATATAATGTCATTATTATTTATAACACTTGTAAAAGTAATATATTTGTTATATAACGATAAATATGTAATGTATATTAATATTATTTAGTGATGTAATTAATTTAAAAATATATAAGCAAATTTAATGTTTGGTAGGAATGTGATTATATGTACGTTGAGATAAAATGAAATGTATCAAAAAAATCTACTTATGATATTTTCCTTGAAATGTTTGAATAAATTTGAAATTTAAATTACAAATCAATCTCCAGTTATTCAAATAATTTTTAAAAAAACAACAATTGTAGTAAAATGTACGTGACAATATATTATAAATATACATGACGTCAGTAATGTTATGAATCTTTAAGTTCCTAAAATATGTATTGTTTAGATATGAAACTAATTAACTTATATGTTAAGATAACATATATAAATATAAGTATTGTACGAAATATACACGTGGCAAGTTATTATATTTGTTTATATATTGTTTGTATATTTTTTTATATTGTTTATTATATTTGTATATAAATATATTGTTTATATATTTGTCTGTATTGCACGAAAAATTATTATATTTGTTTATATATTGTTTAAATATATATTGTTTATATACGAAACTAATTAACCTATATGTTAAGATAATATATATAAATATATGTTTTGTATGAAATCTTTAACATGTTTGTTAAATTTTTCCCCTAAAAAATTCAAAATACATTTAGGCATGTTTTGTTTGAAGTTTGAAATTCAAATATGCATCTATATAACAAATCTCATGATTTGTGGTAGCATTAAATGCTACTTGATTTTTTATTTAAAAAAAAAAACATATCAAAAATGAAATGCAATTAATATTCCCTATTTTTTTGCTTACTATTTTTGAAAAATGTTAATTCTTATTATATATATATAGATTCTAGATCAGTCTGACTGTGTAAATGCCCACTTGTAGCGCGGAAATCCACAAGCTGCGATTTTCCCATATTTTAATATACTACACGTTACAAATAATTCATATTTTTTATGATTTCAAATTTTATTTTTATATTTATATAAATATATATGTACTCGGCTTGATTCGACCTGATCTGTCTTCCACGCCGGTGGATGGTCTTCGATACCTGCAAAAACTCGACACTGGAGGATTTTTGGGTACAGAATCTTCATGTTTAAGTTATGGATATGTAGAAGATGATGTACTATATGTAAGTCTGTAGAGAGTGTAATGTTTTAATGGGCATACCTCGTCTCCTTTTATATGGAGATGTTCCCTTATTGTCTAAAAATACCCGAGTGAGCTGCCCAAACAGCCCGTCTGTACTGCTCGAACTGTCCAATTCAGGTAGCCCTATCCACATGTGATCCTTATGCTGTCAATATCATTTCTTATCCATTACTCTAAGCAGTCTAAGCAATTCAGGTAGTTCGGGCAATATGAACAGGCAGTCTAAGTAGCCCACTCGGGTAGTCCTGGGCAACAAGGTATCATCTCCCTATATAAGGGAGTGAGGTATGTCAATTGTTACATTACATTCTCTATATTCTCTACATACATACTGCACTTCATCTTCTACAAGTGATAACTCAATCATCGAAGGTTCTTCAGCGAAAACCCCTCTGGTGTGAGAGATTTTGCAGGTCACGAAAGACGTTCACCAGCGAGGAAGGCAGATCTACGTCGAATCAAGTCGGTCGAGGGTTATTTCGTACCATCGTTTATCACTTTGGGGCCATTTAGGGTTGGCCTCCCTCACCACTATGATCTCAGTTTTCTGTCATTTATCTTGAGCAGATGCTTAATTCTGGTTGTCCTCAAGTTCTTTTTTTGAAGTTTCTAAAGTTGACATCTGCCTTTTGCCTCTAGTAAGTCTCTGAGAAGAACTCCCTTCTGCTACTTTATGGCCTAATTGAGGCTTCCTTTATTCCAGCTTTTGCCTATGTCTTTAGGTTCAGTATTTAGGGTGTGGGAATTGCACTGTGAATGAGAATAGACTTCAGGTTCTGGAGTGGACATTTCATGTTAGAGGTAGCTGAGGGGAGACAATTAATTCTGTGTTGGTGATCATGAGGCTAAAGGAAATGGGGTTAGATGTATTGTGGTTGATGACAAGTTGAGAAGGGATGAGTAAGGTTTCTGGTTGAGAGTTAGGCAAAGGGTGATTGTGATTGTGTGATGAATGTTTGTGGCTTTGGGTACTGGGTTAGGGGAATTTGGAGTTGTGATAGTACTAGAGGTATAGGGTATTGGACTAGCAGTAGAGGAAAAGAAAGATTCTGAGGCTTTTAGCCATTCACCATAGAGCCCCTCTACAAGTTTCTCATTTGCTATATTTGATCCTCTCTTGACACAATTTCTATCCAAAAGGCCCAAGCAACCATAGTAAAAGCAGAGACTGACTAACCTTTCATACTTAAATTGGATTGTGATCTCCTTATCCTCCAGCTGAATATTAGTGCACCGGAGTAGTGGTTGAGTAATGTCAATGAACACGAGGATTCTTATGCACTTCCCTACCAAATTTCCACCACGAGGGACTGAGACATCCTTCATTCCATTAAAGACTCTTCCTATTTTGAGGCCAACATCAGCTAATAACCAGTGTAAAGGGATGTTCCTGGCTTGCACCAGAATTTCAATCTTTCGAAACCTAGTGTGTTCTGCTTAAATTTCCTCAGTCCAGTCCTTAAGGATTAAAAACTGGTTTTCAAAAGTCCAATTATGACCTTTACTAACTTTGACTTTATTTGCAGCTTCTGTGAAGATGAATTGGGAAGAATTCTGGCTCAATTCTCTAACTGAAATTGCTGACATAATTTGCCACATTTGGCTGACCGCTCGTCTGATTCCGACTAGATGCATCCTCTTTTGTTCGATTATCATTCCGAAGAGGCTACAGTTGCATTCATCCGAACTATGTTAGATATCACCTGAGTTTAAGGCAATAACTTTTGCTTCTTGTTCTTAAAGTTGAACTTGCTCCAATTTGTGAAGAAGCTCGCCCTCCATTGAACCAAAGAAAGAGCACTAGCAGGGGACAGGACAAAAGCTCCTCCTCCATTAAACCAAAGAAAGAGCACTAAGAAAGGCAAACGAGGGAAAAGAAAGGCGAAAAAGACAAGCAAAGGAAAAGGAGAGAAAAGTATTGCTAGTTATCAAGTGATCAAGCTCCAAGAGGAACCCAAGGAAGGAATCAATGTCTCAAATGTGAAACCCTAATACCTACCCAAGGAAGGAATCAATGTCTCAGTCAGTTGACAAACCCTAGCTCCCATGACAAGAGAATTTTGTATAGTTGTATTTGAGCTCTTGCTTTATCTTTCTAATATATAGATCTTTTCAGTATCAAATTTATCTGAAAAATTTCTCCACAAGAATATGTCAAATACGACAAGTCGGTGTTAGTCCATTAATTTGTGTGCTTTGAAACGAATTGCCTGTAAACATTACCGCTGCATTGTAAACTGTTGACTGCAAAATGTAACACACGAGCTAGAAAAAACAGGCCTAATTTAACTGAATTTGAGCTTTACTGTATTTCCCCGAGTGCTTCCATAAATATTACAAGCATATAACTAGCATGGATAAATACCTTATCTTGGACAAAAGGCTTTCCTTTCTTTTTTTACAAGTGAAATACATCCAGACACAATGAACTATCGACAATGTATTTGTATGCCAAAAGCAAGCCATCCTTTTTTCATTTTTCTTTTCCCCCAATCTCGACATAATAAACATAGACAACCTAACAGTGCCGAAAGGAGAAAAAGAAAAACAAAAAAAATAAAAAACAAATGCTACCTCGGACCCGAGAGTTCCATATCCTCAACAACAAGGGACGAGTCCTCTATGTAATCGACATATCTTTGAGAAGGATCTTCAGTCGAACGGCATCTCTGAGGATCAACATTTTGCATCTGCTCCCATTTTTCACACAAGCCGTCGCCCTCGAGCATTCTTAAAACTTGCGACATTTTAGGCCGATGAGAAGGGTTGAACTGAGTGCAAAGGAGTGCCACTTGGACCATTTCCTCTAATTCGATCCTATCATAGTCGCACCTTAGGTCCTTGTCCACCATCAAGTTTAGCTTCCCTTCTTGATGGAGCTTCTTCACCTGAACAGAGGTTGGCATCAAGAGTAGCACCATTACATTTGCTAACAAAGGGCTACTTTTCAAGATTATGTAAGGGGAAAAAAAAACCCATATTTTTTTTTAAAAGCATCATTACATTTGCTGTATTTC